TGTTTAACCCATCACCCACTTACAGCTCTTAATCCTCACCAGCTGCCAATGCAGAAAGTTTTCACAGCTTCTCTTACAGTCTTGACTGGCTCAGTGACAAGATTCTAGGCAAGAGGAAAGAAGCCTCTTGGTGAGGGGAGGAGGAAAGGTAATTCTGTGAAAATGCTTACTAGCTCATATTGCCCCTTCTGTTTTTGTCCTCCTTGGGACGTGGACATGATATTTGGAGCTGGGCAGCCATCTTGAAACCATGAGGGGGAATTATAAACATGTTCTTCCTGACATTGTAGAGCTATGGAACCATTGCTATCAGTTGCCTGCTTCCCTCCCATCTACTTCTTTTTTTTTTTTCCATCTACTTCTCATGAAGGAAAAACAATCCTCTTTTTGTGAAAGCGAATGGCAAAAAAAAAAAGTGATCTTCTCAACTATATACATACTTTGTAAGAATAAATTTTTTAATTGACATCTAGAATGTCTGTTTAAATAACTGAATAGGATGTCATTTCTAGTCATTTCAATTATATCATTTAACAATAAACAGTTGCATCATTCTGTTAAATGTATGCAGTGAGGTATAAAATCTCAGCATGTCAGCATTGATACCATCATTCATTCTTAATATAGATAATGAGCTGTCAACTTTCAATGGGAAATTTTATGTCATTCCATTGTCTTCTTGAATTTTTATTTATGTTCCACTTTCTCCAGAGAATTTAATTCTAATCTATGTATCTTTATGCATGAAAGCACTGTATTAAGTATTCACTCATAACTTTGAACATCATAAATATTATTCAAGTTAATATTTATAGTTCCTACAAGAGCCCAGTATTTTTAATAAATTATCACTTTGTTTTAATACTTGCATTCACTTGGTCAAAGCTACATAATCACCTAACAAAACATAAAATTTTATTGGAAACATATCTTACAATGAAAAAGGGGCTGTTTTTTCAACATTTAAAAATTTAATTTATGTATTTAAAAATCAATGTTACCTACTTCTAAAGGTTAGTTATGCAAACACTGAAAAACTATTTGCATAAATAACAGGAGCACTAAGAGTTTTGTTATGAACTGTCTTGAAAATGATGTCCCTCCATTCTTTGAATGACTTCAGAATAATGTGCTACATAAATATGCCATTCTCACACCAATCTATTATCAAAAGTGACTGTCTTTAAAGGTCTGTCAGCTGAAAAAAATCACAATTCATCTTTGGATTTTGTTAAAACAAAGAATTACAAATCATCTGAGTTACAAGGACTTTCTGGCTCAGTCACCTCTACCTTTCCACCCCCAGGCAATGCACCATGGGAAGAATGGGAGTGGGTGAAAGGTGTCCATTTCTTCTGTAAAATAAAAGTCAGGAAATTGTAAAAAGTATGGCAAGAAAGAGGACCTGTCAACTAAACACAACACCTTGTTAGGAAGACCAGCTTTAGAAAACTAGAGTACACAAAGGTGTAAATTTATCACCTCCAAACTCTGTGTCATGTAGCCTTTGGGAAGTTTTCACGTATGCATGATGCTGAAGGTAGCCTAGTTTTAAGGCTACTGGCTTAGGCTGTTCTACTGAGGCTTTCTGCTACTGCTTGCTAATTGGTTTCCTAGTAACAGTAACTCTCATCTGAGATGATGCCAAGTTCATCAATGGCCACTAAAGGAATAGGGAATTGCAGGCTTTTGTTTGGTAATACTCCATGAGATAAACTATGAAAAGGAGAAGGAGTGATGGCACTCTTTTCTGTTATATTTTTGAGCCTTACTCACCTGTAAAATCAATTAGAGGACAAATGAAACTCAGCTCTCAATAACACAAGTGAGAAAGCAAGAGTTGTCACCCAGTGCCATCATTCTCAATGGTCTTATCTATAGTCAGGGAGCTGGCCCCACCACCTGGAGGGTTCACAGGCCTTGTTTGTGGGAACCTTCCTTTCTTTGTGTAACAAAAAAGATATCTCAAAATTCATCTTGAATTTTTAAATCAGAAAAAATAAAATAAAATCCAGGGGGACTAAATCACCAGTGCAAGTATTAATTGATATCACTTACTGTTATCTTGAGATGAAATTTGAAGAAACTAGTTTAAAATCCACTCTGGCAGATGTATGTGTCTCTAAATTTGGAACTTTAAGAACTTATTAAAAAGAAATAATTAACTAATTAAAGCCTGGCATGGAGAAAGGAGCCTTCCTGGACCTTAGGGGTTAAAAAAAAAAAAAAACCCCACAAAATTTCCCAAGGGAATTCCTTAGCCAATCCTAGTGCCTTCTGTATGCATGAGCATGAAATTGCCCTGGGTGGGAGGGGTATACCAGCCAGGATCACCCTGTGGTAGGGCAGATTATTCTTGGCAAAGACATCTCACAAGAGGGAGCCAGTGGGAGCTAAAACCAGCCCATCCACTCTCCAAGCCATGTACCCTGGCTGGAGGGGGCATCCGTGTTGAGGTGGCAACAAGTTTTATTGCTATTTAATAATTTACACAAAGTCTTAATTTACACAATGACTCTCCTCTCCCTCTGTGGTCACCCCTGTGGTACCTGTTACGTTCCAGCTGAATGGATTAGACAGAGGTGTCCCATTAAATGGCAGAAAGGAAGATGAAAGAACTTGGAACAAATAACACATGTCACATGGTAAAAGACTGCTGTTCTTATTTTGAATGTTCCACTCAGAAAGGTGGTTAAGGCTGTCCCTGAGGTCACTGAGTCACCAGGTCACAGGTGAAACATACATTCAATCCAGCCCTTCCCTGCCTGCCCTCCACATGTGACCAAGGATCTAGTTTCCTCCATTATCCACTGTCCTTTTTTTTTATCTTTCTAACACCTATTGCCACCCCTCACCACCACCACCCCCCCATTACTTGGAGTAGTAGTGTACCCAGCAATGCAGTCAGAGCTGGAGAATATTTATGTAGCTAGGAATGGTCACATGCCTCGGGTCTCTCAATGAGATTTAACTGGAATTCTTTGGGAAACCTCTTTAAAGAAGCTAACTCAGCTAGCATGAACCTGCTTTATTCCCTTTCCTTGAGTTTCCCTTTTCTTGCCTAAAATCCCATGTGCTGACTGGATCCAAAATGATCACCTGGAAATTCAGGGTGACCTTAGGATGAAGCCACCCATTAAGGAAGGCAGATCAATCAGACAAGGAATCTGGACTATTGATGACATCATGGCACTACCACGCCAACTCTGGATGGCCTGCCCACTGACACTACACCTTTTTTTTTTTTCCAGCCCTGCTACCAGTTTGTGGAATCTTAGTTCCCTGATTAGGGACTGAATCCTCATCCTCTGCAGTGAAAGCTTAGAGTCCTAACCACTGGACCACCAGGAATTCCACTACACTTTCTTTTACATGAGAAAAACAAGAAAAAAAAGAAAACCCTAAACATTCCAGTCACTCTTTTTTTTTTTTTCCTGGCTTCCATTATTATCAAGATCACCAGGAGAAATACCAACAACCTGAGATATGCAGATGATGCTACTCTAATGACAGAAAGTGAAGAGGAATTCAAAAGCCTCTTGATGAGGGTGAAAGAGGAGAATGATAAAGCTGGCTTAAAACTCAACATTCAAAAAAGTAAGATCTTGGCATCTGATCCCATCATTTCATGGCAAATAGAATGGGGAAAAGTGGAAACTGGCAGAGCTTATTTTGGGGGGCTCCAATATCACTGTGGACAGTGACAGCAGCCATGAAATTAAAAGACACTTTCTCCTTGGAAGGAAAGTTTTGACAAACCCAGACAGCATATTAAAAAGAAGAGACATTACTTTGCCCACAAAGGTCTGTCTAGTCAAAACTATGGTTTTTCCAGTAGTCATGTATGGATGTGAGAGCTGGACATAAAGAAAACTGAGCTCCAAAGAATTGATGCCTTTGAATTGTGGTGTTGGAGAGGCTCTTGAGAGTCCCTTGCACAGCAAGGAAATCAAACCAGTCAATCCTAAAGGAAATAAACCCTAAATATTCATTGGAAAGATATTCATTGGTGCTGAAGCTGAAGCTCCAAATCATCACCAGCTGATACGAAGAGCTGACTCTTCAGAAAAGACCCTGATGCTGGGAAGCATTGGAGGCAAGAGGAGACGGCACAACAGAGGATGAGATGGTTGGATGGCATCACTGACTCAATGGACATGAGTTTGAGCAAACTCCAGGAGTTGGTGATAGACAGGGAAGCCTGATGTGCTGCAGTCCATGGGGTCGCCAAGAGTCGGACATGACTGAGCAACTGAACTGAACTGAATGCAATTTCCAACAGTATGTCAGGTACAGAAAGGCTCAGCTATGTAGAGACTCTTCTTAGATTACAAAGAAATTATCTTCTTTCTCATGACTTCGTTTTTTAAATAGGAAAGTTGAGAAGATAGCTCACAGCTATGAAAAGCAGAGACCGGTGACACTTCAGCCCATGACTAACCTGTAGTTTCCACTGCAAAGAAGGAGAGCTCCGCAGAAACCAAGGCAGAGCCCATGCACACAGGCAAGGGTGTGTCTGGCCCTCAATGCTCTTGCCCAGGACAGGCTTCCTGAACTTTGACAAGAGTTTGCGGGACAAGCAAACAGAAAACAAAAGAAACAACAAAGCACCTGCCTTAGGGGTTATTCCTTGATAAGTGGTGGAGGAGGAGTGAGGGAAGGAGGCTGAGAAGGTGCAAGGGAATGGAGACCAAAATGGTCCAGGCTCAGTGCCAGGAAGAAGGGCATGATACAGAAGGCAGTTTCAAGGCTTCAGATCTGATGGTCACTTATCTAAATTACCCAGGGACAGAATCACAGAACAGCCTTTGCTGACTGGCAGTCAAGGCCACAAGGGCTCAGTAAAGAATTGCAGTCATGAGAAGAAGCCAGTGAGCAGGAATTTGTAGCAAAAGAGCAAGTGAATAGGATGTGGAAACCAGGGTTGACAAAACTGGCTGGAGATGCCAAGAAATGCTGAGTCTGCCCAAACACTCCACCTTCCTAGGCTCCATTCGGCCTCAAGCCTTCTTCAGCTTCCTGGCCCCACACAGCCACCTGGCCACCAGGCCCAGTAGCTTCCCACAGAACCACGCGGTGCCCAGGGTGACCATCAGCAGGAACAAGAGGACGTCCAGTAGGTACTGCTCATGCCACGACTGCTGGAAGGCATGGGGCTTGAGGTGGGCTGCACCCCCTGTCTGGAGGATGTGGTCGATCCAGCCCACCAGCCGCTGGGCAGGGGTCAGGGGCTGCGAGCGGCTGATGATGCTGGCGGCCTCTGCGGCAGCTTTGTACCTGTCGACAGAGACAGAGGGGAGGTGTTAACTCAAGTGGCCTCAGAATTCTTAGAGACCTTGTATCACACACACACGCACACACACACTTTCTACCATAGGCACAAAAGACTTCCTTTCAAGGAAAAGTTGTTGACCTGGCCTTACCATTGTCTAGTTGGTCTCTTTTAAAAGTTCAAACTGATATATGCATGCAAAGATCCATGCTTGGTGCTGGAAGTGCTAAACTACAAAAAAGTGACTACGTCTATAAGGACTAGTCTCTCCCCCAAGGAGGTTCATGATATATACTACAGGAACCATTATATTTATTGAGTGTCTACTTTGCACTGGTGTCTGGGCTAGATAATACATATGACTCTGAGAACCACAGTCCAGGAAGACACCTGCATTTCCCTGCCCCTTTCAAAGCATCATGTTGACCAGCACTGGCTTCATGGGCTGTGAGCCTGCCTATTTGCAGCGGGCTTCACCCTTAAATCAGCCTTGTTGATTACTCACTAAGTCGTGTCTGACTCTTTGCGACCCCATGGACTGCTGCCTGCCAGGCTCCTCTGTCCATGGGACTTCCTTCAAGAATACTGGAGTGGGTTGCCACTTCCTTCTTCAGGGGATTTTTTCCAACCCAGGCATCTAACCTGGGTCTCCCACATTGCAGGCAGATTCTTTACCACTGAGCCACCTAGGAAGCCCTTTTAAATCAGGCATGCTTGATTTAATTGTCTGCTGTCACAGTCTTAAAATCCTTACACATTATGACAAGGGGCTCCACATTTCCATTTCACATAAGGGCACATGAATTCTATGGCCAGCCCTGATATCCAATGTCTGTGGACCATCCCAGCCCAGATGACTGCTTCATAGGGCCGATGGATCATGCACATTTGGGTCTAAATCTTTGAAAATATAATGAAAATTATAAATCCATTCATCAGGAAATGAACATTTTAAACATATGAGATACCAAATATATATAAAGTTTGTGGGTTATCTGATCCCTGGAGTTTAACAACTTTTCTGGGGTTGGCATCACATGCTATGTGGTTATTATTTGGTCATCTAACAAAACTACTTACAGGTCTCCTATGTGCCATAATGTTGTACAATAATGCTAAGCCTTGAGATATGCTTCAAGTGTGTGTCCCTGAAGCTCTAAGTTTTTCAGTCTTTCTTCATTATAAGAAAGAAAACATATATTTTTTCTCTTCACACACAAGATTATTGCACTGATTGGAAAGATTCTTAAGAGATGAATGGATCCCTTTGTATTGATTCACTTAACAGAAATCCATTCAGACTTACTTTGTGGCAGACCCTGAGTTGGACCCTGAGGACACAGCAGGAGACTCATGCTGTTATGCTGGAAGAGTTTACTCTCTACCTTCTCGTGTGGGGTGCATGCGTGCATGCAAAGTCACTTCAGGCGTGTCTGACTCTTTGCGACCCATAGACTGTATCCTAGCAGGCTCCTCTGTCCATGGGATTCTCCAGGCAAGAATACTTGAGTGGGTTGCCATGCCCCTCCTCCAGAGGATCTTCCCGACCCAGGGATCGAACCCACAACTCTTATATCTCCTGCATTGGCAGGCGGGTTCTTTACAACTACCGCCACCTGGGAAGCCCTTCATGTAGGGACAGACAATAAATTAAAACATAAAGAAATGGGGCGATTACAGATTCTGAGACACATTAAGAAAAAATAATGTGCTATGATTGGGGTGGAAAAGAGAGGAAGCTTTGAGATTATCAGAGAAAGGTCTCTCTGAGCAGCTGACATTGGGATGAGACCTCAATCTCATGAAGGAGCCAGTCTTGTGAAGAGAGGGGAAGGAGTCTTCTAGGGAGCAGCACAGGCAAGGGGCCGGGGGTGGGGAACCGTGTGGGATACTGGGAATAGAAAGGCAACCTCCTGCCTCAGTTGGAATTCTACTACAAGCACCTCCAAAATAGAAGACCTCGCAAAGACAATCTGTGTCAGTAGTTCCGTTCCTCACAGCTAGAAGGTAGAAAACCAACATCTAACCTAAGTTGTTCTCGTCTTCTTCTCAGAGGAAATAAGTCAACTATTAGCATCATACACATATAATTTCATGTCCTGGAAGTTTCAGCTTTTACTGCAAAAAGACCCACATGGTGCCCATCATGGTTTATGTCTTCATTCATCATAAGCAACCACAAGCCCAGAGAACTGCACACCTCTTGTCCTCTATGACTTGCTTCATCTTCAGAGCCAGTGTCTCAGCCTTGATCTGCTTTAATTGGATAGACACACCGAAATTTTTGGCTTTAACTCAGAGCAGGTTTTCATGTTGGTCTCCAAAGAGGGGAATCCCCACCATGGGCACGCCATGTTGGATGGCCTCCATGATACTATTCATCCCACCATGGCTGACAAAGAGGCGGATGCGAGGGTGCCCTGTTGTAAATAAGAAAGAGCAGGACATCTCAGGTAAAAAGTTTTCAGGACAACAAGGAAAGCAGAAGAGGCAGAAGAAGATGCCAATGGGAGCTCAAGGGGTGTTGGAGCCATTGTAAAGATGATTTTGCTTGCTACACATTCAAGGGCTTCAAACCTTGCCTTTGTAGAGACTCCTTGACTCGGTCATAACTGGAGGAAGACTCAGAACCCAGGGGATTCTGTAGAGAATAGTGCTAGTGCTAATCAAGGCAACTATCTCCATCTATCCATCCATCCATCCAACATTCCATCTATTCTTCTTTCTATCCCCTCAAGTCTCTGCTTCTCTCATCTGTTTTCTCTTTATGTTTCCGTGTGTCTATCTTTGTCTCGCTTCTTTTCCTTGAGAAAACCTTTCTCACCCACCAAATAATAGCCTTCTTCTATAAATTCCTGGCACATTCATTGACATCACAAGTCACATAACACTCATAAAACTTATACAGTATGTGTTGTGCTTTTTAAATATATGAGAAGCTCCTTGAGATAAGAGACTGGACTCTGCCCATCAGTATTTGCAGTTCTAGCCTTTGCATCCCATCCTCATGTAGCAATAACTAAAGTGATTATTGATAATGAAGAGTTCATCTCAGCCTGCGCTGGTCTACTGGGATGTGCATCAGAGCCTCCTCATTTCTTCTTTGAAATGAGAATCCTGTCCCACACCCAAGATATAAAGAAATACATTTGCAGACATAGAAATAAGAATATGTTTTTTTTAATTCTACAGATTATTTTGTTACAGTCTTGGTTATCAGCCTCTGATCCAGTCAGTGGCTATGGCAGTGAGGGGTCTGTATGAAGTAGTGATAGCCATAGAGATACCCTGTTGGGGTGAGGAAATTCTCTGGTATCAGAGACTCAATGTGTCAAGTAACTGGCTAGCAGTTTGCTCAGCTTGGGACTCAGGTATATTGGCATCAATGTTGTGAATCTATGAATTGATTACACCTTAGTAGCTAAGGAAGATATATCTATGTGTGTGTGTATATGTGAATGTGTAATGGAACATAAGTGAACAGGTGCTCTTGAAGCCACTGAAGACAGGGGTAGTGTATCTCTTGGTATGTGTTCTCAGAGTTCATAGATTGTTTAGGATTATTTTGTGGTGATCTTGTTCAAGACCAAAGGCAGTAGGTCAACATGACCTCAGTGGTTTCAGGCATGAGGTCCGAGATAGAAAAGAATGAAGGGCAGATAGCTGTTTTGGCATCTGAGCTCATCATAGCCTGATTCCCCAAGGGCTCCAGCTTGCTGCTCCATTCTTGTCATCTAAAGACTTACCTTGTGCTGATGAAATAATCAAGCTAGAGATCAGAAGCCCAATGATCCCCAAGATATGTAAATGAGAAGAAAAAAAGAAATCCTGGGCAGTCCTTACCCAGAAGGTCATTCTGAGGAAGCCAGTGCACAATTTTCACATTTGGGGCCAATTTGATGTCTTTGGGCCAATGAGAAGGATTATACTTCCATATCACTCCTTGAGGAAGACGAGCAAAGGCAGCATTCATCTCTTTGAGAATCTCCTGGGACTGAATGAAACTCACCATGGACCCCAGGCTTACAAGGACAAAACCAGAGTCTCCAAATTTGGTGATGAAATTCTCAAATTCCTAGAAAGAAATAAGGAAGGAAAGAGGAGAAAAATGTTCACAAAAGACTAGATGGTCATGAAATGAAGTCGGTTATTCACTGAACACACTCTCCTGTCCCTTGGAGTTCACTGTCCTGAGACAGGTCAGCACTCTCAGTTGTTCTCATGCCCACTGTGTTGGTGTTAACATCTTTCATTTTTGAAACCTTGACCCTACTGTCAAGGCAATCATAGACACTCTACTCATTGTAGGTCCATGAAGATATGGCCACTTGGGTGTTTTCCAAAGCCAGACCAGAAGTGGAATGTAAGGAAGAACCTTGTAGGGAGCCAGGGTCCAGCAGAGGGAGGTGGGCTATATGGAGGGTAGACTGGAGAAGCTGAGAAGAAATGGAGGTAGAATGGAGAGTTGACTGGCCACCCATACCCCATCCACCATATACTGTGCGTTCCTCTCATATCCCATGATGTTGTTAGTCACTGATCTTTGTAGTTTATCTCCTATCTCAGTGATTCACCCACATGACTGCACATTATATTCACATGGGAAGATTTTTTTTTTTCATTTATTTTTATTAGTTGGAGGCTAATTACTTTACAACATTGCAGTGGTTTTTGTCATACATTGAAATGAATTAGCCATGGATTTACATGTATTCCCCATCCCGGTCCCCCCTCCCACCTCCCTCTCCACCCGATCCCTCTGGGTCTTCCCAGTGCACCAGGCCCGAGCACTTGTCTCATGCACCCAACCTGGGCTGGTGATCTGTTTAAGATTTTTTAAAAGTAGCAATGCCCCACCCAGTTTCAGACCTCAGCAATTCTTTTCTTCAAATCCCCGAGGCAGTTTGGAAAATCCGTTCTGATCTAATGCTGTAATCTTGGTTTTAACACATTTTGTCAATTCTTCTAAATATTTCTTTGGACCCTGACTCTTTCTGGATTTCTTGTGGCTCCCCCCACCACAGATCCTAGTTGTTGTTCAGTCTCTCAGTTGTGCCTGACTCTCTTCAATTCCATGGACTGCAGCACACCAGGCTTCCCTGTCCTTCACCATCTCCAGGAGTTTGCTCAAACACATGTCCATTGACTCGGTGATGCCATCCAACCACCTCATCCATCTCATCCAGCTCCTAGACCTTCACCCTATTGGGCTGATTTCATCTAGCATAACATTGCCTGATCTACTGCCTCAGAGGACCACTTTGACAACAATTTTGTCATTCTGTTAAATTAAGAAGCAATGTAAAACCATTATATAAAAACTGGAAAATGCAAAGGAGAAAATTTTTTGAAAAAGTTACTGTTATCTCACAATCCTTCCTCCCATCATGCTCCTGCTTAACAATTCCCTTCTGCAGTCTTGTGGCTAGGGCTGACCCACCCTCCTATCGGGTGAAACTTCCTGCAGTCTGGCCTGGGCATCTTTGTGTAGCTGCATCTTCCTCTTTCTAGTCCAGCTGGAGTCATCCAGGGAACCCAGAGACATCTCACTTCATCTTCACATTTTGGGACTCCTGTTCTCTCCACCTGGAACATCTTCCCTCCCAGCTTCATTCCTAAAAAATTCGTCCACCAACTCAAAACCCACGTAGCCCAAGGATCATTCCCCAACTCTTCCTGCTCACTTGATGCAAGTTCAGTAGGGGATGGATAGATAGTTTCATTCCTGAAAGGCCCAGGCCAAATCAGGACCCTCTGGCTTTAAAATGAATGAGAGTGGGACAGCCACTTACACCACTGGAGGCCTGTCCCCTTCTTTATAAAGATGGAAGTCATGCGATTTCCCTGGTGGTCCAGCAGTTAAGAAGTCACCTTGCAATGCAGGGGACATGGGTTCAATTCCTGGTCAGGGAACTAAGATTCCACATGCCACAGAGCAACTAACCCACACTCTGCAACTACTGATCCCGAGTGCTTTGGAGCCTGTGTGCCACAAAGAAAGATTCCACATGAAGCAGTGAAGGTCCTGCATGCTGCAACTAAGACCCAACTCACCCAAATAAATAAACAAATATTCAAATTTTGAAGAAGAATTAAAATGGAGGTCATCATACCTCCTTCTAGGTGGCAAGAGATTATATAAGATAAATTCCATAAAATTGCAAGCCTGTGCTGTTAGATGACAAGCAACACATTCATCTTAAAGAGTTAGTCACTCGGTCATGTGTGATTCTTTGTGATCGCATGGACTGTAGCCTGACAGGTTCTTCTGTCCATGGAATTTTCCAGGCAAGAATACTGGAGTGGGTTACCATTTCCTTCTCCAGAGATTGAACCTGGGCCTCCTGCAATGCAAGCGAATTCTTTACCATCTGGTCTTAACTCCCTTCCGTTTTGAAAACTTCTCCAGCAGTGGTTCTGAGTCAATGCAGTCCAACTGATTGGGCAGCTTTTATAACTTACACTTCCCAGGCTTGACCCCACATCAATCAAATCAGAAGGTGTAGGCAGAGTTAGAGACCAGGGCGCTACTGTCTCGGGATGCTGGCAACAATGCCTGCATTCTCACTATCAGTCCCACACACCACCTCTGTAGTCGTGCTGTTTTGTGTTTCCTTGTGAGTAACTCATCCCCTTCATGATTCTTGCATGTGACAGATGCTCACTACATACTTGCTGAAAATATGAGCATAGAAAATGAAAATGGAAACTTCAATTTACTAAAAGATTTTTTCTACCAGCACCAGGACTAAGGTGAGGCAAGAGAAGACCTTGGATATAGTATTTAAGGAGGTCAATCTCAGGGTTGTATAAGTCTTAACTCTGTACTTTCATGATGCTGAAAGTGAGTCTTTCCTTTCAAAGGGTCCCCTGGAGCCTCATTTGCCTCACCTTATGCACCCCCAGGACCCTAGTGACAGGGTGGCCACCAGCTCTGCACTGAGGACTTCTGCATGAATCTACACTCTTAGCATTTACTTACTTGTGGTACTGGTTTAACAGGTTTGGCCATTAAACCTCCAATACACACAGTGTTGGGAAGCAGGGGCCGAGCGAAATCAAAGGCAAAGTCAGAGTTAACAAACCACAGCTCTGCTTTTGTTAGAAGATGAGACAAAACTGGCCTAGAGTCATCCGGGAAATGCTCCTTGATGGTGTCATCATACACAGACTGGATTTTCCACTGCTTCTTGAAGAACTCAAAAAACATCAGGAAATTCTTTACTGGTCCATCTGGTCAGTTAACAAGGAATAGAATACTGGCACATAAGACAGAGGACTTGGTAGTCCAAAGTCCACAGTGCCCAATAGGGAAGGGAGAACGACCACAAATGGCTTCCCAAGCTTCTCAGCAACCAAGAAAGGACAGTAGTCAAACATTTCCACTATCACCAGGTCAAAGTTCTCATTCTTTAAAGAATTCATGACATCATTTCTCCTTAGCAAATGACTGCAGTGATGCCCTAGTAGTTCCATAATATTTAAAAAGTGTTCAAATCTGCATCTGTAAGAAAAATAAATAAATGATAAATATTTGTTGAAAGTGTTTATATCACAATACATAAAAAACCTTGGTCCATCAACAGATGAATGGATAAAGAAGGCATGGTATACATATACAGTAGAATATTACTTAGCTGTAAAAAAGAATGAAATAATGTCATTTGCAGCTACATGTATGGAACTTGAGATTATCACACTAAATGAAGTAAGTCAGAGAGAGAAAGACATATACCATATGACATCACTTATATATGGAATCTTAGAAAACAATGCAAATGAGCCTATTTATAAACCAGAAATAGACTCACAGACATAGAAAACAAACATGGCTACCAAAAGGGGAAGGAGAGAAGGGATAAACTGGGGATTTGGGATTAACATATACATACTCGCTTGCTCGCTAAGTCGCCTCAGTCATGTCTGACTCTGTGCAACCCTATGGACTGGACTGTAGCTCTTCTGTCCATGGGATTCTCCAGACAAGAATACTGGACTGGGTTGCCATTTCCTTCTCCCATATGCACACTACTATATAAAATAGATAACCAACAAAGATCTACCGTAGAGCACAGGGAACTATATTCAATATCTTGTAATAACTTATAATGGAAAATAATCTGAAAAAGAATACGTGTGTGTGTGTGTGTGCGTGCACGCATGCATGCTAAGTCATTTCAGTCATGTCTGAATCTTTGTGAACCTATGACTGTAGCGGGCTAGGCTCCCCTGTTCATGGACTTCTCCAGGCAAGAATACTGGAGTGGGTTGCTGTGCCCTCCTCCAGGGGAGTTTTCCCAACCCAGGGACTGAACCCAAATCTCCTGCAACTCCTGCATTACAGGAAAATTCTTTACCACTGAGCCACTGGGAAACCTATTAATGTGTGTGTATATACATATATATACAGATATATATGTGTGTGTGTATATATGAACTGAATCATTTTGCTGTGCACCTGAAACACTGTAAATGAACTATATTTCGGTTTTTAAAAAAGGATCTTGGGAATTCCCTGGTGGTCCAGTGGTTAAAAATCTGCCAGTGCAGGGGACTTGGGTTTGATCCCTGGTCAGGGAACTAAGAGCTCACATGCTGTGGAGCAATGAAGCCTTCATGCCACAGCTAGAGAAAAGCACTCACAATGCAACAAAGACCCAGTGCAGCCAAAATTTAAAAAGTTGAATTAGGGGGGCGGGTCACGCAGGGCGTGCGGCCTGGATCGGCGGTGGCGGTCTGGCTGCGGGCGGGGAAGCCGGCGCCGGGCCCCTGGTCCGCGGGACGCCGCGCAGTGCCCGCCGCTTTCCCCCGCGGAGCCATGGAGATCGGCACGGAGATCAGCCGTAAGATCTGGAGTGCCATTAAAGGGAAATTGCAAGAATTAGGAGCTTATGTCGGCTTCACGGTGTATTAGATAAACTTCGTTCTGTAACAACTGACCCCTCTAGTCTGAAGTCTTCTGATACCAACCTCTTTGATGGTAACGTACCTTCAAACAAGAGCAGTTTCAGTCGAGGAGATGAGAGAAGGCACGAAGCTGCAGTGCCACCTCTTGCAGTTTCTAGCACTAGACCTGAAAAAAGAGAATCTAGAGTTTCTACAAGTTCACGGGAGCAGAAAGCCACTAATGTCAGACTTACGATGATGGAGCTGCAACCCGACTAATGTCCACAATGAAACCTTTGAGGGAGCTAGCACCCTCTGAAGATGTGATTGATATTAAGCCAGAACCAGATGATCTCATTGATGAAGACCTCAATTTTGTGCAGGAGAATCCCTTATCTCAGAAAAAAACTACAGTGACACTACGTACGGTTCTTCTCGCCCTTCTATTGAAATTTATCGACCACCTGCAAGTCGAAACGCAGACAGTGGTGCTCATTTAAACAGGTTGCAGTTTCAACAGCAGCAAAACAGTATTCATGCTGCCAAACAGCTTGATGTTCAGAGTAGCCGGGTGTATGAGACAGGACGTCTGTGTGAACAAGAAGTGCTTCACAGCTTAGGAGAGACTTACAGTCCCTTCTTCAGAAGCAACTCGGAAAAGATGAGTATTGAGGAAGAAAACTTTCGGAAGAGAAAGTTGCCTGTGGTAAGTTCAGTTGTTAAAGTAAAAAAGTTCAGTCACGATGGAGAAGAGGAGGAGGAAGACGATGACTGTGGGTCCCGGACTGGAAGCCTCTCCAGCAGCGTGTCGGTGCCAGCAAAGCCTGAAAGGAGACCTTCACTTCCACCTTCTAAACAAGCTAACAAGAATCTAATTTTGAAGGCTATTTCTGAAGCTCAAGAATCTGTAACAAAAGCAACTAACTATTTTACAGTCTCACAGAAACAGACACTTCCAGTTGCTCCCAGAACTCGAACTCTCAGGAAGAACTGCTAGCAGAAATGGTCCAGGGACAAGGCAGAGTCCCCAGGATAAGTTCTCCCATTAAAGAAGAGGAAGCAAAAGGAGATAACATAGAGAAAAGTCAAGGAACTCAACAGAGGCAGTTGTTATCCCGATTGCAAATTGACCCCGTAATGGCAGAAACTCTGCAGATCAGTCAAGATTACTATGACATGGAATCCATGGTCCATGCAGACACAAGATCATTTATTCTGAAGAAGCCAAAGCTGTCTGAGGAGCTAGTAGTGGCACCAAACCAGGAGTTGGGGATGAAGACTGCAGATGCCCTTCGGGTCCTTTCAGGACACCTTATGCAGACACGAGATCTTGTACAACCAGATAAACCTGCGAGTCCCAAGTTTATAGTGACGCTGGACGGAGTCCCCAGCCCCCCAGGATACATGTCAGATCAAGAGGAGGACATGAGCTCTGAAGGAATGAGAGCCGCCCAGCACCCTGCAGCCTCACACGGGGGACTCGCGGGTCTCCTCCGCCCGCAGCACGCTCGCGTGCTGAGCAGGCAGCTTGAGGACCCAGAGGGTAGCTTTGCAAACGCTGAGATGAGCGGGCTGAGCGTGGCACAGAAGCCAGAGAAGCTGCTGGAGCGCTTCGAGTACTGGCCCGCCTGCAAGAACGGGGACGAGTGCGCTTACCATCACCCCGTGTCGCCTTGCAAAGCCTTTCCCAATTGTAAATTTGCTGAGAAGTGTCTGTTGGTTCATCCAAATTGTAAATATGATGCAAAATGTACTAAACCAGATTGTCCCTCCACTCACATGAGCCGAAGAACCCCAGGACTGCCTCCAAAACCAGTCACAGCACCAGCACCGCCTTCCAGTAGTCAGCTGTGCCGCTACTTCCCAGCTTGTAAGAAAATAGAGTGTCCCTTCTATCATCCGAAACACTGTAGGTTTAACACGCAGTGTACACGACCTGACTGTACATTCTATCACCCCACCATTACTGTGCCACCGCGACATGCCTTGAAATGGATTCGACCTCAGACCAGTGAATGACACCCAGTCCTACCTGACGGAAGACTGTGGCGTTTGAAAGTTTCCATCTACTGATGAAAGACATTCTGCAGAATTTGTCAAATCTTTGAAACTTGGAATATATTGCTTTCATAATATGAAGTTTATTGCCTATCTGAAGTGTCTAATTTTTCAAGTTTGTAAGTTTATTAAGTGATTTTAACATTGGGTCTTTGTTGTTTTGTTTTGACTGTGGAAAGACAGTTTAAGGAAAAGCTGAAATCTATTAAAACATTTGAGGCATGTTGTAAAAAAAAAAAAAAAAAGTTGAATTAAAAATCTTGGGCTACAAAGAAAATATTCCAGGTAAGTAAGCCCACACCCAGCAGCAGCCATCCTACTCCACCACTGTCCATACACACATCCCCTCAGTCAGTCCAGGCAGATGTTCTGCTCTTGAGAGTGTTTCCTTCTGTCCCCTACTCCCTTTCTTCACTGTTACAAATCCCTAGCACTCTCCATGACAGTTTTCAGACAGTAATTCCTGAAGGCCTTGGGCATAGATGAATTATGTTAATGAAAAAGGAATTCCCATGACTGGGACTTCTGCTCTGGGAGGCTTCTTTGACCATAGCAGGCCTCACAGGTCTCTTTCTACTTGAATTCTGTGACACTCTCCTTCAGTTTTACTTACATACTGAACCTTTATGAGTGGTTTCTTTGTTTACTCAGCAAAACTGTGGGAATCACTTGATAACACAATCCCATAAATATTGACAATACAGACTACTTTTTAAAATCATTTGTGTATTCGCATATGACAGATTTCCTCATCCAAGAGGATATCGGATCATACTAGAACTCAAAATCTCACTTAAAAATGGAAATTCTATATTTCTATGTCCACAGTAAACAAAGGGGAAAAGTCTGGTCTTGAAACACATGATAAGCCTTTCCAGTTCACTGCAGGCTAAGGGATCCAGAGAAGAAATGCTTACTGACATGTAATTAAGACATCGCCTATGGGGTTATCCCAGGAAGCTATCTTCTTGCCATGCTTTCCCACCACTGCCTAAATAATTATGATTCTGTTTCCTCTTTGTACAATACAAAGGGAAGTAGGATATCCATCTGCACTCTGAGACACAAGAGGTAACAAATGCAAGGCCTCGAGACATCAGAGGCTTCCTGACTGCACGGGCGACCAAGATAATTGGTACCTTGGCATGGTTATAACTGTCCACCACTGCACCACTCTGCCTCAGATAGAGATTGCCCAGAGACTAAGAAGTCATTAGCAATATGCAGATCTCTGTCTGATCTTTAGGGTTAACTTCAAGTCACAACAATGGAAGTGATTGGCTCACATCATCTTCTACTGTGTATTTTTTAAGATATAACAAAGGAGTGATTACCAAAACTTTTGGATAACTTTAATAATGTTCCAAAAATTCCTAGAATGTAATTCATTAGTCATAATTAAAATTAAAATAGCAAATAGGAAAAATATCAAGAATGCCTGGTTACTTATATCTGTCCTCAAAATATTAAAGTAGGGAGGAATTAGACAAAGCATATACTTAAAATATATAACTAACACCACAAGATGATATAAACTAAGTATAAGTTGAGTAGATTAGATCAGACCTATCCCAGAGGGCTTCCCTGCTGGCTCAGACAGTAAAGAATCTGCCTGCAGTGCAGGAGACCCAGGTTCAATCCCTAGGTCAGGAAAATCCCCTGGAGAAGGAGATGGCAACCCACTCCAGTATTCTTGCCTAGAAAATCCCATGGATGGAGCAACTTGGCGGGCTACAGTGCATGGGGTCGCAGAGAGCGGACATGATTGCGTGATTAACGCACATAGCAGAGGGACCATGGTCATCCAATCTGAGTGAGGAAAAGAGATTTTATGGAAATAGTCAGATTTGAGCAGTACCTTGATTAGTAAATAGATTTTCAAGAAGAAAAGAGGGGAAGAGTCCTCTGTAATTAACCAAGATAGGCATGGATTTCTATCTTTCCCCTTTAACATTAAGAGTAAGGAGCTATGTGTTCCTTTTCATGTCAGATGAAGCAAAAGGAGTCAGTTTCACATCCTATTTTGCACAAGGTTGACTGCTTTTTAAAAGGACTTTACATGGCCAGATGCTCAATTTCTACAAAAGCACTGTTTAAAAGTCTTCTCTGTTAATAAAAACATATAAGGAAAAAATGAAAAAATAAATAAAAAGGTGTCTTTGATATCCCTACCAACAGTGAGAGGTTGAGATACATATACTTCTGTGTTGGGGAAATTATAGACAAAAATTGTAAGTGAAGTATTGTAAGGAAATCCCAGAAGAAACTACCTACCTCTCACTTGGTACAGGAATGTGTGTGTGTATGTGTGTGTGTAATACCTTCATGCTTATAGTAGAAGAAAGGACAGAGCAAGGAAAAGCCTTGAGTGGCTGGAATGGGTGATGTACTGTGAAACACCTGTTTACCCAAAGATCAGTATCATTCATCCATATCTCCGTCCCTCTGTCCATCCATCCAACCATCCTTTATCACATCCTCACTCTAAGCATCTATCCATTCACTTATATTACTACAATTGTGACTCTTTAAAAAGCAGGGGCATTACTTTGCCAACAAAGGTCCATCTAGTCAAAGCTATGGTTTTTCCAATAATCATGTATGGATGTGAGTTGGACTATAAAGAAAACTGAGCAACGAAGAAATGATGCTTTTGAACTGTGGTGTTGGAGAAGGCTCTTGAGAGTCCCTTGGACTGCAAGGAGATCCAACCAGTCCATCCTAATGGAGATCAGTCCTGAATATACATTGGAAGGACAGATGCTGAAGCTGAAACTCCCAATACTTTGGTCACCTGATGCGGAGAACTGACTCATTTGAGAAGACCCTGATGCCTGGAATGATTCAAGGTGGGGGGAGAAGGGGATGACAGATGGCTGGATGGCATCACTGACTCCATGGAACATGAGTTTGAGCAAGCTGCAGGAGTTGGTGATGAATAGGGAAGCCTGGCATATTGCAGTCCATGGAGTCACAAAGAGTCAGACACGACTGAGCAACTGAACTGAACTGTGACTATTTAGTTTGAATAATTTAAAAAATTACCTGCCCACAAAAGTCTTCTCCATAAAGGAATGAAAAGACCTGTTAAATTCTTCATTACAGTCTTCGGGCAGAAACCAGTTAAAAACTTTGTATGATTTCTCCTCCTCTTTAAAACCTACAAAAACATCGATGGGTTAAACACACTAAATGTGTCACACAACATGGATTAACATTAGCATGATGATACCAACATTTGATTGTATCTTTTGAATTATTTTTATGACGTTCGGTTGCTTTCTCATTCAATCTTGTATACTGAAACTATTCCTTGAGGACCTTTCAACAATTCAGGAATGCTCTTTAGTTTAAAGTTATGGAAACTTCCATTTAAAGCTTTAAGTGAATGTATCGCTGTCTGTCTCATTTTCCTGCTGAGAAAACAAAGTTAATTAGTTTAAGATAATGTGTCAAGGTTGGTTCCAGTGTCTCTGCTCGTTCTGTTTTAGAAAAATTCATCTTCATTATTTAAAGTGATATATCCAAACAGTTTTTTGATTCAGTAACAAGTACTGAATGACTTGATTAAAATAGTCTTCTTTACTAACTTGGTTTCTCCTCAGTTACCCAGGTGTAATCAAAAGTCTGAGTTCATTTCTGATCTTTGATGCTGGCGGGCTTCGGTCCCTATCTCCGTTTCCCGGGCGAACTGTTAAGAAAGGTGTATGCTCCCTCTCGTGGCCCTAAGTGGAAGTTTCAAACCATGCAAGTCAGGTCATTGAGGGGTAATCCTCACCACATAAGACTCCCCCACTCACAATAAAAACTCAAGCTAATCATCCCTCCGTACACTGGACGGCCATTTTCCAGGTACTTGGGAACCTGTCCCATTCTTTCAAAAAGGCCTCATTATTTGAGTAATAAATCTTTCATACTCTCTTAACGCTTGCATACCTACTTCAGTCATGACATCTGACCAACTTGTAAGGACTGGGAACAGATAATGCACAGTCCCACACATTACAGCTTCCACACTCAGTGTTAGTTAAACGACTGGCTCTATCCAAGGATCTACTGGAAAATCCTTAGCAGTCATAGATTTGGCTAATATGCTCTGCTCAGTACCTCTTTAAGCAGGCCCTCGCCTACAATTTGCCTCCTTGTGGCTCAGCTGGTAGAGGATCCACCTGCAATGTGGGAGACCTGAGTTCAATCCTTGAGTTGGGAAGATTCCCTGGAGAAGGGAAAGGCTACCCACTCCAGTATTCTGGCCTAGAGAATTCCATGGACTGTAGAGTCCATGGGGTCGCAAAGAGTCAGACACAACTAAGCAGCTTTCACTTTCACTCACTTTCACTGGAAAAGGCACAATATAGCTCTGACTGGTTGCCAATGGATACTTCAACAGCTCTACCACCAGCCACAATCTTTGCTGGCAAAATATTAACCACATCCAACTTCCCCTAGGATCATAGGTATTACATTACATTATCCTCCTCCCAGGTGATTTGTTCCACACATTCATTCAAGACAGAAATGTTCTTAAAGCAGCTCACATGAAGGGATGTGCCATCGCTCCCACACAAAGCCCAAGACCCCATGAAAATGAAAGTGTTTATTCACTCAGTTGTGTCCAGCTCTTTGCAACTCCATGGACTATAGCCCACCAGACTCCTCTGTCCATGGAATTCTTCAGGCAGGAATACTGGAGTGTGTTGCCATTCCCTTCTCCAGGGGATCTTTCTGACCTGGGGATCGAACCCAGGACACCTGCATTACAGGCAGACTCTTTACTGGCTTTCCACCAGGGACGCCCCCACCCCTACCCCATACCTAAGTTAAATTTCTCAGAAGGATTTGGTTAGTCTTAAAACTTTTCTATCACTTACATGGTAAAGAAACAACTAATGATACCACAATATTTCAACGTCTCCAACATCTTTTAGGTCTTTTTACATTCTGGAGACAACATATTTCTAATTTATATGTTTTACTTAAGTTCATGTGTACTTGAAAATCAGCCCACTTTGGATGGAGACCCAAACAAGAAAAGCTCTAGGACTTCCCTGATGGTCTGGGGGCTAAGAATCCACCTGCCAATGCAGGGGACACAGGTTTGGTCCCTGGTCCAGGAAGATTCCACGTGCCACAGGGCAACTCAGCTGGTGCTCTGCAACTACTGAAGCCTGTGTGCCCTAGAGCCAGTGCTCAGCAACAACAGAACCCACCGCAATGAAAAGCCTGTACACTGCAATGAAGAACAGCTCCAGCTTGCTACAACTAAAGAAAGACTATGTGCAGCTCTAGAATCCATCCAATAGCCACCGCAATTAGTGGCCCTCCAAGTTGGCTTTAGCAACCTAATCTTCTGCCTTCAGGAGGGATCTAACCTCCTATGATGACTGTAATAGCTTCCTAAGGCTTCTGTAAAATTTACTGTAAACATAGAGGCAATAAACAACATTTATTATCTTAAAGTATAGAAATCCAAAATGGGCCTTATTGGTGTAAAGGCAAGACATAAACAGGCTTGCATTCTTTCTGGAGGCTTAAGTGGACAATCTTTTTCTTGCCTCTTCCAGCTCTCAGTGGCTGCCTGCATTCCCTGGCTCATAGCCTCCTTCCAATTGGCAATTATATCACTCTGACTTTTTCTTCCTCTATCACATTCTTTCTGTTACTCTCCTGTTATCTTCTTTCATTTAGAAGAACTCTAGTAATTATACTGACCCCACCTGAATAGTCCGGGATAATCTCCCCATTTCAAGATGCTTATGTTATTCACATCTGCAAAGTCCCTTTACCATGTAAGGTAGCATGATCACTGGTTCCAAGAATTAGAACAGAGATACCTTTAGGGGGACACAGCCTGCCTATTATATTCTGCTCTCTGCACCTCAAAACTCAAGTATATCGCACAAAATGTATTCACCCCATCCCAACATTCCAAAAAGTCTTAAACTGTTACACCACCAATCCATAGTTCAAAATTTCATCTAAATATCATTAGCTTAAATGTCCCAAATTATAGCATCCAAATAATTTAATAAGTATGGGTGAGAATCAGGGTATGACCCATCTAGAGGTAAAATTTCTATCTGTGGACCTATGAAATTAGGGAACAGGTTTTCTGCTTCCAAGAAACAGTAATGGGACAGATATAAGACATGGGTTACTGATCTTTATTAATCTAGGTGCAACAATTTGGAAGGAAAATATCAGTCACTGGTCATAAGAAATTTTGACATCCAAGTGGGCAAATAGTATTAGATTTCAAGAACTGGAAACAATTTTCTGTGATCTGAAACTCAGCCCTGTGAGACTGAAGTTCTAACTTCTAATTCTTCACCCTCAGAATTCCCCTTTGCTCTCCATAAAATATCATGAGTTTGCAGCTGAATAGTTCATCAGCTTATTTCTTCCTCTATGAGAGTCCAAAAGTTTCATTTCATCTCATCCTTTCCCTGTCTCTTTCATCCCAAACTAGCCATGTTTCTTATGGTATAAAAATCTCAAGTACCTTATGAATCTCCTGGTTATGTCACGGGAGTTACCTTTTTTAGACAAAAGACTTCTCCATAGATCTTTAAAAATATCCTCATCTCCATTTTTGGCTTCTGTCAATGTGTCTGAGGGCTTCCTTGATGGCTTAGATGGTAAAGAATCTGCCTGCAATATGGGAGACCTGGGTTTGATCCCTGGGTTGGGAAGATCCCCTGGAGGAGGGCATGGCAGCTCACTCTAGTATTCTTGCCTGGAGAATCCCATGGACAGAGGGGCCTGGCGGGCTACAATCCATGGGGTTACAAAGAGCTGGACATGACTGAGTGACTAAGCACAGCACACAGCGTGTCTGAAGGGATCCATGAGTCCACAACTCATCTTCAAGAAGCTTTCTGTGATGATTTTAGAGGAGATCAAGATGGTGGAATAGGAGGACGCTGAGCTTACCTCCCATGTTGAACACATCAATAAGTTACATCTACCAGTGGAGCAAGTTTCCCTGAAAGCAAAGAGAAGACTGGCAGAAACACTTCTGCAACCACGGCTGTGAGGGAAGGCTGCATGGAGCCATGTAGGCAGGAAGGAGAAGCAATCGAGCCAAGACCCACTCCTCTAAACGGGGGACACAGAGGAGGAGTCGGATATCACAGTCCTGGAAATCTTCCAAGGGGGTGAAGGGCTCCAGTCACATATTGGGCAACCCAACCCTGGGGTCCAAAGCAGGAAGATGAATCCGCTTAACTGGTTTGAAAACCAGTGGGAATTGTCAAAGGGCTGTAAGAGATCAAGAGTCATGAAAAGCGAGTATACACACTTGCTCACTCCCAGGAACAAAGCAGAGGAAGCAGATGAGCAGAAAATGTGGCCATGCTTGGGGACCTGGCTGGTTTCCTGAAACCACCCCAGTGCACCCTGGCCCACACTAGGTACCTGTTCCAAACCATCTTGCTCCACTGCCGTCCCCACTAGAATGAAGGCTGCTGTCCTCACGTGGTACAGCAAGCAGAACGTCAAGCAGAACTTAGCAAGAACGAAGCCTCCTCAGACACAGCCCTGCATCTGAACAGAGCAAAGTAGCCATTGCTGGCATGCAGGGAGGCAGTCCTCATTAGCAGATTTTTTAAAATCTGCATTTCCACTAACAGTCTGTTCAAGGCAATCTAGGCTTTCTCTTTCATACTCCTCAATATTCTTTAGCTTCCATCAGTAACTCAATTGTGATTGCACACTGATTGCAGCATGCGAATTCACACATGTGAGTATCAGGGATCTTTGCTTCTTTAGTGCCAGTGATGTCATTTTTTTCACTAAAGTTTTTAATAAATAAGAAAGATGGGTAAGTGTGTTCAAATTAGGAGTCAGTAAATGGTTCAAGTATTTCAATGCACTGAGGTGAGCACCAGGTCGGAAATAATAACATAATCGTGTATTTTCCTGATTTGCAGATACCTAGCCTAGCTCTACTAATGAAGTGAAGAATGAAAATGCTGTTTCAAAGCCTCAGGAATGCCCATGATTAGGGACTATTGAAAGAAATCCTAGACACTTAAACCTGAAACCTAAAAATAAAACTGAATGGATCCATAAACTCCCTAAATTGTTTATAGACTTTAATGCACATATATTTATTAAAGGGGTAGAATGTAATTTCAGTAGTTTCCCAAAGTTCATGCAAAACTTATTTTTTAATCTAAAATTTTGATTTAAATTAAATTAAAAAGAAATAAAATTAACAATGGAGAGGTCTTCTGCTTTTGTGATTACATGGGCGGGCACTTAGACTAACGGTAGTGAGGCTCTGTCTGAGACGTCCCCTCCAACATCTCACCTAGATTCTTTAAACGCTTTTACCACTCTGTTTTGATTTTAGATCTCATACAAGTCATTCTCCATAAAGGAGTCAGGTAAAGTTTCTAAAAATACATATCTTAACTCTGTAGCTCCCAAGTACTTCACAAGTTTGAAAGATCAAGGTCAAAAATATAAAATAAAATATATTTTGATTTAAATCCATTTAAATTTTTAATTAGGTTAAATTATAATTTTAAAAATTAAGTATTAATACACTACACCTATTTCATCAGAACTGCTGTCAAAAAAAGGTGCAAAAGGATATGTATGTAGAAGATGTTCACTGAAAAATATAGACCTTAATCTAGAAAGTGACTAAAGTGGATTTAGATAGGGACTCAGATATATGTACACCAAAGTTCATGGCAGCATTATTCACATAACCAAAAGGTAAAAATAACAGACATATCCATCAATAGATGAATAGACAAACAAAATATGGTATAGACATTCCATGGAATGCTATTCAGTCTTAAAAAAGAAGAAAATACTGATACACACTCCAACATGAATGAACCTAAAAGACATTATGCTCAGTGAAATATACAGGAGACAAAAGGACAGTATTGTGTGATTTCACCTATATCAGGTATCTAGAATAGTCAAATTATCAGAGAAGTGAAGTAGATGTGTTTACCAGGGGCTGGGGAAATGGGTAATGAGCAGTTATTTTTAATTGGTACAGAGTTCTAGTTTGTGATGATAAACAAATTTTTGGAGGTGGATGGCAGAGACAGTTGCACAACCAGGAATGTACTGGTCACTAAATCTCACTAACGTCACTAAACTCTACACAAAAATAGTTACAGTGGTCAATTTCATGTTCTGTATATTTATCACAATTTAAAAAAGAAATTTCAACAGAAAAAGAATTATTTTAATACAGTTTGAACAACTGCAAAGCTTGAAGTCACCTTCTAAGTTTTATCATTTCTCATGATTTTATTCTTTAATGATTCCACTTAATACTGGATTTTGTTTTTAAATTAAGTCTGAGCAATATCTTAGATTGAGTAATCCAGAGCTTAAAGTCCTAAATCCATCCAACACTGTTATTAACCTGTCATGTAACTGCGAGAGAACCATTGACGTTCTCAGAGTTGCTGTTCCCTTTTCTGTTGACAGAGAGGAGTTGCTAAAATGTAGGAGCTCATTAGAGCTAAATTCTTTGGATTTAGTCCCTTTCTGTGTCAACATGCACAAATTCACGGGCAGTCACTGATTCTCAAGAAAACAAGGTCACCATAACGGTAGAGTCTGATCTCAGCTGCATAAATAAGGAACCCCTTGAGAAAGCTTCCTTAAATTTCAGATAAGTCATCTATGCCATAGAAAAAGAAAAGTGATTTTTACTTATTAGAAATCTTAAATGTCGGTAACACATCTGTTCAACAGGTTTTCAAGCCAAGTTATAAAGTAGTATCAAAAAGTTTACAAACAATAAAGGCTGGAGAGGGATGGAAGAAAAAGGAAACCTCTTACACTGTTGGTGGGAATGCAAACTAGTACAGCCACTATGGAAAACAGTGTGGAGATTCCTTAAAAAACTGGAAATAGAACTGCCATATGACCCAGCAATCCCACTGCTGGGCATACACACTGAGGAAAGCAGATTTGAAAGAGACACGTGTACCCCAATGTTCATCGCAGCACTGTTTATAATAGCCAGGACGTGGAAGCAACCTAGATGTCCATCAGCAGATGAATGGATAAGAAAGCTGTGGTACGTATACACCATGGAATATTACTCAGCTATTAAAAAGAATTCATTTGAATCAGTTCTAATAAGGTGGATGAAACTGGAGCCCGATATACAGAGTGAAGTAAGTCAGAAAGAAAAACACCAATACAGTATAATAACGCATATATACGGAATTTAGAAAGATGGTTATGATGACCCTATATGTGAGACAGCAAAAGAAACACAAATGTAAAGAATAGTCTTTTGGACTCTGTGGGAGAAGGCGAGGGTGGGATGATTTGAGAGAATAGCATTGAAACATGTATATTATCATATGTGAAACGAATCGCCAGTCCAGGTTGGATGCATAAGACAGGGTGCTCGGGGCTGGTGCACTGGGATGACCCTGATGGGATGGGGAGGGAGGTGGGTGGGGGGTTCAGGATGGGGAACATATGTACACCCATGGATGATTCATGTGAATGTATGGCAAAAACCACCACAATATTGTAAAGTAATTAGCCTCTGATTAAAAAAAAAAGTAGTATTTACCAACATGGTCTGTGGGAATGTGTGGAGGGTTTGCTTGAGATGCAGAAGTCAGGTAAGGGAGGAGAAGGCTTCCTAGGTGGTGCTAGTGGTAAAGAATCTGCCTGTCAATGCAGGAGATAAAAGAGATGTGGGTTCAATCCCTGGATCAGAAAGATCCCGTAGAGTAGGAAATAGCAACCCATTTCAGTATTCTTACCTGGAGGATCCCACAGACAGAGGAGCCTGACAGGCTACAGTCCATGGGGTCATGGTCAGACACGACTGAAGTGACCTAACACAAGGGAAGAGAACATAAGACCACAGAACATGGAGTTTCATGCTCATGCTAAGATGCTTCAGTCATGTCTGACTCTGCGACCCCATGGACTGTACCCCACCAGGCTCCTCTGACCATGGACTTTTCCAGGCAAGAATACTGGAGTGGTTTGCCATTTCCTACTCCAGGGGATCATACCAACCCCGGGATCAAACCCACATCTCTTATATCTCCTGCATTGTCAGGCGGGTTCTTTACCACTGAGCCATCTGGAAAGCCCATACAGCGTCCTGGTGAACAGGGCCAAGAAACTTTCCTATTGCTTACATAGACACACATACACACGCTTTTCCTTCTTTTAATCCAATTAGATTTAAAGAAACTATCTGAAAAGCCCTTCTATGCAAAAAGCATTAGTTTCTTTCCAAGAATATAGGAAAGCAAGGATTAGTGGGGAAAAAAAATTTTTTTTTTAATAATTAATGGGGAAAGGTACCTGGTAGGAATAAATTTCCCCTTTGGAGAAGCATGGTGACATTATGACCATGATCTTGAAGAATCTGAGCGATCTGATTCATCAATAGAAAATGGCTTCCACCTAAGAACAAAGCTTAAGTTCATTTTTATGACGATGAGAGTAGAGATTCTACAATTGATGGGCTGATAAATCCAGGAGAGGAGGGGTAGGGAAGCAGAGAGCTGATGGGGAGTGGAGGAAATGAGTGCTATCAGTCTCTCCATCTCATTCTGAGTATGTCCAACCTGCCCCCAACCCCTTCCCCCCCGCCCCCACCCCCCAGAGCCTGCTGGCCCAGCTCCTTGGCAAGTGGCAAACCTCCATTAAAGATTTCCTCTTGTGACTCTGGTCTCCATGTCAGTGTGATAAGCTTCTCAGTGCTTAGGTCCTAAGGAATTCCTGATCCTAAGGTACACACTGCCTTTTAGCCAGGAGTGTAGGGAGACACCATATCCTGAAAAAATAACTGCACGGGTAGAAATTTTGGCACAGTGCCATGCATGTGAGTGTGAACAGTTCCTAATGGACAATCCATCAGAGTTATTTCTGGAATTTTTCTCTTCGGAAATGTATGCTGGAATAGGAGCGAGAATTGTGGGAGCTTGAATGTGAGTGCAGGAAGTAACCCCTGCAGCAGAGCGATGTGGAGCCATCAGTTAGAGTCAAAGTGCTTGAGATTCAAATATAATTAGCAAGAAGTTTCTCAGTGGAGGCCTAAACGTTTCACACCCATCAGGACTTGGGGGTGGACTTGTGGGATAACTGTGGGATGGCCTGCAGAATCTTATATGCATGCGAGACTGGAACACTATCCATCCAAGGATAGTCGGTATCCTAAGGAAAGAGAAGCTTAATCCCTGGGGGAGGTTCAAGCTCCATCACACTAAGTTCTTCTCTTAGAACCTGCATCAACACAGGGACACTGCTTGAATCTAAGGGTCTCAGCAGTAGAGAAAGCCAGTCAGGAGAGGAGTTAGTGGCAAATGGCAAATGTTTGGAGACTGAGGTTAGAGACACATGGTGCTAGAAAAATAGTGTGTACCTATTTCTCAACTTTTTTTTAAACACAAACTTGTACAGTCTGACATAACAGGAAATGAGAAGTACAGATCTCCCACACCTCTTGCCCACGTGTTCATCCCTAGACCTGGGAGAAAGGGCAAGATGAAGGGCAATCACACATGCGTCCATTCACGCACTGGGAGCCCCAGTGCATTCTGGGCTTCCAGCCCCTCACAAACCACACCAGCTCCCTCCCAGAATCCGAGGCTAGGGAAGAATGTACTCTTGGCAGGGGTTGGGGGGGGGGGGGCAGTGAGAAAGCTGTCTTGCTTTATCATTACAAACAACCAGTCAGAAAAAAGATTTCAAATAGAGACACAGAGTGATTTTTAAAACTCCCCACTGAGAAATGAGTGACAGGGGAAGCTTGGAGAAGATGGTCTCAGGGATAGAAACTCCTGAGTAAATATCTGGTATGTTCCATTAGGGGCTTCTGTTTGCTCTTGCAGTAGATGCCTCACTTTCCTGACCCTTAATTTCCTGCTCAGGAAAGCCTAGTGGTAACTCAATTAGATAATTTACGGTTCTTTCCAGCTCAAAGATTCTCAGTGATATAAGAGTGTCCACTGTGGGTTAAAATGAAGTCTTAGGGAAGCTCCATCTGTGATTACCCCTGTATCCTGATATATTCCTCTGGGCAAAACACTCCACTCTTCTAATTGTTGTAGTATCTTCCCTGCTCCACCCTGGCTCTCATGCAGCCTCAGAAAATTCTTAATATTACTGCTGCCCTCAGGGGCCCCTTTCTTTCCTCCCCCCTGCATCCCCCCCGCCCACACACACACCCACCTGCCTGCAAACCACTAGTTAGCCACAGTCCTTACTTGCGCCTGCTGTGTGTCCTCCAGATATTTAGTGAGAGCCTCTGAACATCCAGCTCACGCCCTGGAGGAGACAGCCCGGGGCCTCCTGCACTGGGCTGGATCTCAAACACCCAGTCCCAGCACCACGCCTGGCCCACATGGATGTGCTCCTACCTCTTCATCGGCCAGCCAGGGTAACAAACCTGCCTCAGACGGGAAAAACACGCGACTCTCTCACCAAGGGCTGTTTGCCTGTCTCTGGATCTTCGGTCAAGCATTTACCCACCAGGGACACAGTTAGGATTTTGGCAGCCTCTGAGAACAGGAGCCCAGGCAGCAGAAATCCAAACAGAAGCAGCGCCTGCTGCCCTGCCATCCTGGCCCCTACAGAGGCTCCAGAGCTGAGCCCTGTGCCCCTGCACACACCCGGAGTACACGCAGGCGGGCAAGGAGAGGCGCCGGCTAGGAGCTTGGTGAGAGGTGAGGTGTCCCTCTGTCTTCTTTTCTGTTGGTCACCTCTTGCTCTCTGGCCCCTCCTCCCTCTGTGAGTGAACCACTAGTCTGTCCTCACCCTCCCTAACCTTGGCCAGCAGAAGGAGTGGGTAGTGAGCTAATCCAGGGCTATCCACATCATCTCCACCCTCCCTGCCCAGAAAACACTCTGAACCAGTAGTGGTCGGGACGTTTAGAGAGCACATGGATGACAGCTCCACCTCCAAGTAACTTGGATCCACCTGTTTTATGGACCCTTCCCCCAAACTTTTGGTGTCCCACCTAATGGTTCTAATTACTTCATACTGCCCATATCCAGGGCTTCCCTGATAGCTCAGTTGGTAAAAAAAAAAAAAAAATCTGCCTGCAATGCAGGAGACCCGTTTGATTCCTGGGTTGGGAAGATCCGCTGGAGAAGGGATAGGCTACCCACTCCAATATTTTTGGGCTTCCCGTGGGGCACAGCTAGTAAAGAATCCAGTTGCAATGCAGGAGACCTGGGTTTGATCCCTGGGTTGGACCGATCCCCTGGAGAAGGGAAAAGCTATCCACTCCAGTATTCTGGCCTGGAGAATTCCATGGACTGTATAGTTCATGGGGTTGCAAAGAATCAAGCTCATTTCCCCAGGTACCTGGTTAATATCTCTGCTAATGTAGCAAACTCAAGACTTGCTAAGTGCTATGTCCCTTCAGTTATGTCCACCTCTTTACGACCCCGTGGACCATAGCCCACCAGGCTTCTCTGTCCATGGGATTCTCTCCAGGCAAGAATACTGGAGCAGTTTGCCATTTCCTCCTCCACAGGATCTTCTCGACCCAAGGATTGAACCCGGGTCTCTTAGGTCTCCTGCACTGGCAGGAGAATTCTTTACCACTAGCACTGCCTGGGAAACGGAAGATATCCCTAGGCAAATCCCCAAGGGAATTGACCTACCATTCCAGGACTATTGCTCTGATGGCCTCTTAAAAAGGTCATTGTTCCTGAACAGGTATCAGGGTCCAAACTCTGAAGTCCACATCTTTACTTGGAGGACTGAACCTCTAAAGCTGAGACTCTAATTCTGAATAAGCTTTATAAAATAGGACTAGGGGTCTTTCCACAGTCTCCTGATGTATAAGATGAGGTCATCTTGTAATTTTGCTGCGTTATAACGTTAACCCTGGGAAGGACAGGGCCTGAAAACCCCAGAAGATATGGTTGATATTTTCTACCCTCAAAACAAGACTGGCTTCAATGATGGTTTTTAGTGCAACTCTGAAACAGACAGAAAAGACCTCCAAATAAGGCCAAAACCAGAGAACTCCTAGAAGAAAACTAGGTGCTCCTTGACATAGTTCTGGGTGATGATTTGTTTTTGGATTTGACACCCAAAGCAAAGGCAACAAAAGCAAAATTAAATCTATCTAAACTTACTGTCTTTTGCATAGCAAGTGAAAGTGAAATTTGCTCAGTCGCGTCTGACTCTCTGTGACCCCATGGTCTATACGGTCCATGGACTTCTCTAGGCCAGAATACTGGAGTGGGTAGCCTTTCCCTTCTCCAGGGGATCTTCCCAACCCAGGGATCAAACCCAGGTCTCCCACATTGCAGGCAGATTCTTTACCAACTGAGCTATCAAGGAAGCCCTGCCTAGCAAAGGTAATATCAACAAAATGAATTACTGTAACTCACCACAATAATAGAGTAAAAATGAAGTACCATATGATCTTTTCAATAGATGCAGAAAAAAATTTTGACAAAAATCATTACCCTTTTATTATAGAAACTCTCAGCATAATGAGGAATAGTAAACAATTAAAAAAAAATTATTTACTTAGCTGCTCCACATCTTAGTTGCAGCTCGCAGGATCTTTGATCTTCCTTGCAGCCTGTCAGATCTAGTTCTCAGATCAGGGGTTGAATCCCGGGCCCCCTGCATTGGGAGCTTGGAGTACTAACCACTGGACCACCAAGGAAGTCCTGAAAGTAATTTCTTCAATGTGATAAAAGGCATGTATTTTTAAAAATCTTGGTCTATAATCATACTTGATGATGAAACATTGAACTCTTTCCATCTAAGATAAGAACAAATGCCTGCTCTTATTATTTGTATTTGACAACATGGTAGAAACTCTAGCCAGTTCATTCATTCATAAATACATACATACATAAATAAAATAATCAGTAAGGAAGAAGAAAACTGATATCCATCAGAGACACCATTGTGTACATAGAAAATACTACTGAAGTGATAAAAATTCCCAGTAAAATAAGTCAACTTATCAAAATTGCAGGACTCAAGGTCAATATATAAAAATCAGTTGTATTTCTGTCTAATAGCAGAAACTATTAGAATTAAAATCTAAAAAAATCCAAAAACATTACACGCCTAGGAGTAAATCTAGCAACAAATTGTCCATGACCTCTAAACTCTACAACGGATTACTGAAATTAAAAGATATACAAAGTCACTGGCTCTGAAAGCTCAAAATTGTTAAGATCTCTATTCTCCCAAAAAGTAATCTATAAATTCAACACTCACACACTCCCAGCAAGCTGTTTTGAAGCAAAAGAATTAATATTTATATATTTTTAAAAAACCATATTCCCCTAAATCATATAGGTACAGACTTTAATTCAAGATGGATCATGGCCTAAATGTAAAAATCTAAAACCATAAAACTTAAGGAAAAAGAAAGCATAGGAGAATAACCTTATGACTTGGAGACAGCAAAAATTTCTTAAAACAATTAAATTGATAAACCAGGGTTCATCAAACATAAATGCCTCTGTTCATCAAAAGACAAGTAAGAAAGCAAACAGGCTATCCATGGAAGATCTTTATTCCAAAACATATAAAGAACTTGTACAAAACAATTAATAGATTAATAATTTATTAATAAAAAGACTTTAATTTTTTTGGCTCCAAAATCACTGCAGATGGTGACTACAGCCATGAAATTAAGACTCTTGCTTCTTGGAAGAAAAGTTATGACCAACCTAGACGACATATTAAAAAGCCAGAGACATTACTTTGCCAGCAAAGGTCCATCTAGTCAAAGCTTTGGTTTTTCCAGTAGTCATGTATGGTTGTGAGAGTTGGATTATAAAGAAAGCTGAATGCTGAAGAATTGATGCTTTCGAACTGTGGTGTTGTAGAAGACTCTTGAGAGTCCCCTGGACAGCAAGGAAATTGAACCAGTCCATTCTAAAAGAAATCAGTCCTGAATATTCATTGGAAGGACTGATGTTGAAGCTGAAACTCTGATAGTTTGGCCACCTGATGTGAAGAACTGACTCATTTGAAAAGACCCTGATGCTGGAAAAGACTGAGGGCAGGAGGAGAAGGGGACAACGGAGGATGAGATGGTTGGATGGCATCACCGACTCAATGGACATGAATTTGAGTAAACTCCGGGAGTTGGTGATGGACAGGGAGGCCTGGCGTGTTGCAGTCCATGGGTTCGCAGAGTCAGACACGACAGAGCGACTGAACTGAACTGAACTGAATAAAAAGACAAACAACCTAACTAAAAATTGGGCTATTTTTTGTTTCTTTGTTTGTTTCTGTTTTATAAGGTAAGGGGGAAAGAAAGAGGTGGACCGACATGACCTTCTCTTTGGTGGAGGTTTCTGGATCTGAATGTGTGGATCACTCCAAAAAAAAAAAGAAGAGCAAAGATGAACAGACAGTTCAAAAAGGAAGATATAAAAACAGCTGTTAACACACAGAAAAATGTTTAACATCATTGGACATAAAGGCAATGAAAGTTGAAACTAGAGGTACCATTTCACCCTCACCAGAATGTTTAAAATGAAAAAGACTGACAACAGTAATGTTGACAAGGATGTACATACGGCCAAAGGTTGGAGAACTATTTAGCAATTTCTTTAAATGATAAGCCCACATTTATTCATTTCCCTGTTTTTGTTTTTGCTACAATTCTTTCTGGTGTTTAGAGTGTTCTAGCTTTCTTCCTTCTGCCATTCTTCTCCTAATCTAAACAGTACCCATCATTTAATGCTCTTACCAGCTATGGCTGGTGTCTCTAATCTCTCTCTACTGGCTGAATACGGAAGCTCATTCATGATGCTGGGTATTACCTTCAGTTCTATGCTAACTTTGTTCTCAGATGTACCTGTGTGTAGGACTTGTTTCCTTGATGACAGAGTCTCATAAACGCAAGTATTTTTTTATTATTATTGGACAAACCACTCTAAAAGCCGTGTGCCAGTGACACCTGCTGGTCCCGTTTTCAACTGTTGGGCCAACAGATGTCTTCACATTCCACTGGCAGCAAATTCTTCAAAAAGAAAGCCACAGTTCACCTGCGACTCTTGTTTAAGAGCCAGTGAATGAGGACTTTATATTTCTCTTCATCCCAAGGGCCTCTTCTGTGATAGTTTCTGAAAACCCTGGTGAGGGGTAATATCCTGTGTCAGCTTTTACTTTGCTTTACTGGGGCATCATTTTCTTTTCATAATGTTGAAACATTTGCTAATTTATATAGCATTTGGGAAATGCCCCCACCTAAGAGATTCTACACTTAAAAAATCTCAGGACAAACAAATTGGCCCAGGAGTCAGGCAGTCAGCAGTCAACTCTGACCTCCTTTTGCTAAAGAGGCCTGACACTTAGAGAAAACCTTGAGGAGAGAGCCATGCCCTGTGTGAAGCTGGGGAAAACAGAGATGTGGCTGTGAAAGGGAGAGTCTCTACCTTGTGGACTGTAATTCCTGGGAGCTGTACAAATACACCTTTGCCTGGACTTCCCTCCCCGTAAGTAATCTATATAAGACATTCTGAAAAAGGACCTAGACGTAAGTATGCTTTCAAAGTTCCTCAAGTGATTCTAATATGAAGCCAGGGTTGAGAATATCAATTCTGGAGGGAGACAGAAGGCA